ACACTATACATAATAAAAAATAAAGTCTTTAAAAAAAAATTCTTCCTCCCTTAAGTTGGTCTTTGTCAAAATGTTTTATCACAGCAACAGAAATTGGAACAGTGGGCAGTTGGGGGAGGCTGCTTGTTCATTTCCCGGCTGCCTAGAGTCCCAAAATAATCACACATAAATCTATATTAATTGTAGTACTGTGTTGGGGGCCAGCCCCAACAAAAATACCTTTCTCCAGAGTGGAGGTGTGGAAATTTAGGAATATAGTAAAATGTACAAAGACGTGAACAAAAATAATAAAATACAGAAACCTATAGGACAGGATCAGTAGGGAACTTTTCAGTGGTTGCCAGTGTTTAATTTCCAACTGGTTAATATACCCCGACACCAAAAGGTAGGAGTAAAACAAATGACTGCATTGACATACCAATTGAAAGTCACAGGGTACATTCATCACACTCACACCCTAGACTCACACCCTAGACCAAACATTCTGTAGGCAAACCACTCCCTGGGTAGAATCCCAAGTGATTTCTTTAATGGTCTGTCCTATCCCTTTAAGAGACAAGCCCTGCCCACCCCCTCACCCCCCTACCCCCCCCCCACCCCTGTCCGCTGAGGCAGGCATATTTTTCCTTCCTGCTTGCATCCCGAGTCTCTTTCTGTCTCCCTGTCGAAGAGGCAGCTCTGTCTCTCCCTTCTCCCCACTTCTCCCCTTTCCCCTTCTGTTTCTCTGTCTCTCTTTGCCTCTCTCTCTCTGCCCTTCTCCCTTTCTCCCCTTTCTGATGTGGGAGTGTCATATATCAATCTGTTGATTTCATTGGTTAAAAAAATAAACTGCTTGGCTGGCCCTCATAGGTTAGAACACAGGTGGGTGGAGTAAACAGAACAGAATGCTGGGAGGAAGAGGAAGTGAGCTCAGACTCCACAGCTCTCCTCTCGGGAGCAGACGCCTCAGAGAGACGCCATGCTCCCCGCTCCCGGGAAGATGCATGCGATGAAGCTCCGACCCAGGATGGACGTAGGCTAGAATCTTCCTGGTAAGACCGGTGCTACACAGATGATAAGAAATGGGCTAGTCCAGGTGCGAGAATTAGCCTAGAAGAGGCTAGATGGAAATGGGCCAAGCAGTGTTTAAATGAATACAGTTTGTGTGTTGTTATTTTGGGCATAAGCTAGCCAAGCAGGCGGCCGGGGTGCTGGGAACGCAGCCCCACTGCTCTTATTTCAACACCTTTCCCCTCCATAACCCACTAAATATCCAGCCTCACCTGCTGTCTCTTACCCGCCATACAGCTCCCTGCCCTGGACCAGCTGCCTTCGGAGACCTGTGGAGTGGTCTTTTGGCCTGCCATCAGTCTGCCTCTCGTGGGACTGACTGCCCCATTGAGATCTCTCACCTACCACATGGCTGGGACTTGTGGCCTGCTGCAGCCACTTGAGAAATTGTGCCATCCCTGCCTGGGGTGGCTGCTCTTGGGACCTGAGGCGAGGTCTCATGGCCCACTGGGCCTACTGCGGCCACTTGGGGATTATCCGCATTTTACTTAATCCATTACAGTTTCCATTAAGGGAACTGAATTTAGTTGGATCCTTAGACTTGTAGTAGGAACCAACTACTTCCCTATTTCAGAAGCACAAGGTTTGGCAACTAGCCACACCTGTTGACAATAGCTTTGTGAGAGCAGAACTCTGATTTACAACTAGGTGGGACCTTTGTTTGAGCACAGTAACCTTGAATAAACTAGAAACAAGTCCCAAACTCTTTTGGCCTCTACAATACTGTTTGGCCAATAGCTTAAGTGTATTTCTGGCTAACTCCTATATCTTAAGTTAACCTATTTCCATTAATCTTTGTGCCATGTGACTGTGGTTTACTGTGTAAAGTTCTGGCATCTGTCTCTGGTGGGACTATGTGGCTTCTTCCTGACTCCACCTACTATCTCTGTATATTTCTTTGAGCCTAGCTTTACTTTGCTGAAAGCAGCTTCTTTATTAACCAATAAGAGCAATACATATACAGAAAGACTTCCCACACCAGTGGGCAACCTGCCAGTGCCCATATCCCCAAGGAAAAATGACCCCCTTGTTCCCCTGCAGCCAGCAGCCAGTAGGTCCTTTGCTGGGTGTGCATTCTGGCGTACCCTTCCCCCACCAATGTTGGACTTTTGACTGGCTTGATCTTGTTCATGGCATTTCCCAGCACATTCTGCCTCCTCATCCTTGAGATGTGCCCTGCGTTTTGGGAAAGTGGGGTTGATTTAGATGTGACATTAAGGTTAATAAAAGGAGTGCATGTTTGTACATTCCTTGAACGTCTATTATTGAAGATATCTGGATTCTTGAATTTTTCTATCTGTGAATGTGTGTGTACAGTGTGCATGCAGAGCCCCAAAGAGGGTAGTGTATCCCCTGATGGAAGTTAGAGGTGGTTGTGAGCCACCACGTGAGAGCTGGGAATGGGTCCTCTCCAAGAGCAGCCAGCGCTCTTAACCTCTCCAGCCCTGATGTCTGGGTTCTTATATCTGTCTTTGGTCTTTGTGGTACATCTGTGGCCTCTGGAAAACCCAATTCATACTCTCACTAAAAGAAAAGAAGGGAGGGGCGAAGGCAGTGACATCCTAAAATTTATCAGAAACTATTAATACTTGTTTGAAGGTGACTGAAACTCTGCTAACTTGTCTATAAAGTTTTCTTTATTATTGACAATATCAACATCTTAGTGTTCTGTGAAGGTACTTTGACTTTTCAGGTTCCGTAGAAGTTCCCAGAACACTCAAGGGTTTTGAGTTAATAGTTTTAGAATTTTTGTTTGGTTCTGTTACCATTTTCCTTTGGTTTCTTTTCTAGGCCAAAATGAGAGTATGTGAGCTGGGTGTGGTAGCCTGTGCCTGTAGTACCTGTAGTACTATAGTGCCTATAGTACCAGTACTCACTAGGTCAAGGCACATGGACGGGAGTTCTAGGCTAGCCTGGACGACATAGCAAACTTAGGTAGCAAAATATCCCCCCCCCCAAACTCTGTGTATTTCTTATTTTTGTAGAATTTATTAAATTAAAGTACCTTTTAGCCAAGCATGGTGTTGTATACCTATAATCTGGGAGGCTGAGGCATAAGGATTGCAAATGTGAGGCCAGTCTAGGCCCAATAGTGAGCCCCATCTCAAGAAGGCGAGTTTTTAATGAACAGAGTGAATTTAATCAGGCTTGTTGAATTTAACTCATTATAGAGTCTCACTTAAAATACAAGATCTCTGCAGCATGGATATACCGCACATGGGTTCTGCACTCAAGGTTGGATTTCTTCCGAAGACTGGCTGCACCACCTCACCCTGAACCTGCACGGTGCCCACTGTACTTGGCTGGTTCCCCCACTGCACTGCAGGAAAACCTTTGCACCTGCAGCTCCTCGAGCTCGTTGGCAGTGGGGGCTGGGCCTTCTCTTTGTAACCCACTTGTCCACTCCCTACTGAAGCATTACCATATCTTGATAATAGTAGACGATTGAAAGAAGCTGCTACATGTGCCGGAATATAATTTGAAGAGATACATGTATGTTTAGACATGTTAACTAAAGAGGATCCAAGAGTTATTAGTGTATCAGTAGAGCTTCTGCTTAGCAGGCTAAGGGCTCGGGGTTCAGTCCTCTGCACCAAACAATACTTTAAAAACTAAGTCATTTATGTGGTGTTTTGCTTGCATGCATGTCTGTGCACTACATGCTGGCAAGTTCTCTGGGAGGACAGAAGAGGGTGTGGGGTCCCTCGGGTCTTTGTCACAGTTGGTTGTGAGACCGATGTGGATTCGGGAATCAAATCCGGGTCCTCTGCAAGAGCCAGTTCTTAACTGTGGAGCCATCTCTTTAGCCTAGCCCCCAAATAAATAACATTTTGATCAATGAGAGATTATAGTCTCAGTGCATGAGTTACTGGCATATTATTTGTTAATGAGTTGCTTTGCATATAACTTTGTCTTCTGTTTGGTTTTTTAGTTTTGATTTTTTTTTTTTTTTTTTTTTTTTTGGTTTTTTCGAGACAGGGTTTCTCTGTGGTTTTGGAGCCTGTCCTGGAACTTGCTCTTGTAAACCAGGCTGGTCTCGAACTCACAGAGATCCGCCTGCCTCTGCCTCCCGAGTGCTGGGATTAAAGGCGTGCGCCACCACCGCCTGGCTGGTTTTTTAGTTTTTTGAGACAGGGTCTCGCATTGTATACCATACTGGCCTGGAACTCACTCACTATATATCTGAGGTTAGCTCACTCTGGGGCCGTTCCTCCTGTCTCAGTCTCCCAAGTGTGTACTCACAAGTGCAGGGCCTCACGCCTGCTGCATGTCTGCTGTAGAGTGCTCTCTAGGAATCCGAACCAAGAAAGCCACTTCCTCTCCTACATTGTCATGGCTTACCATCCAGCAGATGTCTGAGCCGGCCTCAGGATGGAGAGGGTTAGTGGTTAAAGGCACCTGCTGCTCTTGCTAAGGACCCACATTCCGTTCCCAGCATCCACATGGTAGCTCGCAATGTCTTAACTGTAGTTCCAGAGCACCTGGTGTCCTCTGGACATACGTACAAAGGGCCACACCCATACGCATAAAATAAAAATGAATAATAAAAAACAAAACAAAAATAAAGCAAGCAAACAGAAAGAATTTATGGTCTAACATGTAGTCTGAGAGTTAGCAGATTTGCATAAATAGCTGGGGAACTTGGTCTTTCTGGGCTACATGGTCTCAGCTCTGCCATTGTGGCCCCCAAATAGCCAGATAAATAAATGTAAATAAATGATTGTGGTTGAATTTCAATAAATCTTCATAAATGGAAGCAGGACCAGCTTGCCAGTTACTGCTCTAGTGTCCCTGTGTTAGTCTCCTTGTGTCCCACTGGGAGACCCACAGCAGCGATTTCCGTTGAGATTCCACTGCTGAAGTTGTTAGATGAGATTATAAAACACAGCTTACATGGTACAATTTAAAGAATAACATTCTTTTTCTTCCTGTCGTACCTTTTTCCCCAGGACACCTTATTTCCGTACATCAAAGAGAATGTCAAGGAGTACCTGCAGACACACTGGGACGAGGAGGAGTGTCAGCAGGATGTCAGCCTGCTGAGGAAACAGGTCAGGACTCTCCTCTTCCACATCCCAGAGTCTCAGAGTGGAGGGAACACGCTGTGAGCGCTGTCAGTCAGTGCCCTGGATGCTGAGGGGTGGAAGCTGCAGGGCCTTGTGGGCCTAGCCATCCACAGCGTGTCATAAAGCAAGCGAGTCATAGCAACTCGTCTGTGGAGTTGCTTCTCTCAGAGGCTGTTTATAAACTTGGGCCTTTCTGGTGGAGTCCAAGAGGTTTGGTAGAGTCATCACATCTCATTGATATCACCAGGTGACAGCACCTTGTCACTTTCTTCTGTCCTATCTCATGGCATGAAACTACCCCCTAACGGCCTCACAGGTCCCCACATCATGCTTCTCTGCCAGACTTCTCAACCAGACTGCACTCTGCTGCTCCAGTCAGTCTGTACTTTTTCCTTCCACATGGTGTGCTGGCGTCAGTGGCAAAGATCTTCATGGTGTGTGCCCCCCACCAGCCGTTTTCCTACACTGGATTGTGGAATGCTCTCTAAAAAACAGGTCTTTTATTTATGGTGAGAAGTTAGGTTTAGAAATAATTGTAACATCCATTGAATCATGCAGTGTTTGGGTTTGCTGAGTTTTCTGGATAATGTGAGGTCAGTGTGAAATAATCCCCTTCATCTTTTTATTGTCTCAAAAATGTTCCATACATACATATTTCATGTTCAGATAATGCATTACATTGTTACAGAGTCCTTGTATATGCATTTCTTTTAATTATGTGTATGTGTGTGCGTGTGTGCATGCATGCATCTATATACACACATGCCATGGTTCACTTGTGGAGGTCAGAGCACAAATTGAGAGAGTCATTTCTCTCCTTTTGATCATGTGGGTCCCCCAGAGATTGAACTCAGGTCATCAGGCTTAGTGGCAAGTGCTTTATACCTAGTGATCCATATTTGCCAGATCATTCCTTTAAGAATAATTTTTAACAGTTCTCAGGATAATTGATAGTCGGAGAAAACTGATCTGCCTGGTTTTGCTCTATCTTTTTTAATATAACTATGCATGGGTATGTGTGTGTGTGCAAGTATATGTGTGTAAGGCTCTTTAAATATATGCATGAACAGAGTTGATTTGTTTCTGATTTAAAGGCTGAGGAAGATGCACACCTGGATGGCGCTGTCCCGATCCCCGTGGCGTCTGGAAATGCAGTGGATGATCTCCAGCGGATGATCCAGGCCGTGGTGGACAATGTGTACTGGCAGATGTCTCATGACCGGAAGACCACGGCGCTCAAACAGCTGCAGGGTCACATGTGGAAGGCAGCTTTCGCAGCGGGCCGCATGAAGGCAGAGTATGTGCTCTAACGCTAAACCATTTCCCAGGCCTCAGATCCACAGCCCCCCCCTTCCTCTTTTTCCCGCGTAACTTGCACAGTTAGTAAAAATAAAGTTGCTAGGTGTGATAATACACCTTTAAATCCTAGCACTTAGGCAGAGGCATGAAGCACAAATTCCAATTGTTCTTAATAAAAATTCAGAGTCAGCTATCAGGGGTGAAAGCTGAAGGACAAGAGAAGCAGAGCGGCAGCCACTAGAGTTCTTACTTCTACCAATGCTCAGACCATAGGGTTGGTCCTGTCCTCAGACTGCACTGAGCTCCTGTCTCCTCCCGCCTTATATTCTTCTCCACCCCATCATATCACTCCTGTCTCCACCTCCCTAGTACTGGGATCACCTTTGTGTGAGCTCTGTTTCTCTTTTAGGCAGATTCAATCTTGTGTAGCCCAGGGTGGCCTTGAACTCACAGAGATCCCTCTGCCCCTGTCCCCCAAGTCCTGGGATTAAAGGTGTGTGCACCGTCCCCTGGCCTCTTGCTCTGTACTTTGATCTTCAGGCAAGCCTGATTTGTTAAAACACAAGCAAAATATCACCACAGAGGCAGGCAGGTTCTAGGCATGGCAAACCAAGGCTACATAGAGAGACCCTGTCTCAAGAAAGGTCAGATTGATGTTGCTCTCATTGTAGCTAATGAGTTGTTTTCTTTTCCCCTGGAAGCTGTGTCCCCCAGATCTGTGCTTTTGTGGGAGGTGAAAGACTTTGGTTCTGTTTTTTAATTCATCCTGGTGTGGTGTTGGGAGCTGGCCTTCCTGAGCCTTCTGTGGGCTAACCAGGTCACAGCCACCCTGTGGCAGGCACACAGTGACACCAGTGACAACACTCGATGACAGCGCTGGGGGTCACTTCTCTAGCCATCATGCTTTTTGCTGCTGAGAGAAGCGAGAGGGCTCAGCAGTCGGCTGGGCAGTTAGTAGTCCTGGGAGACCCAGTGCCCACTCTGACTGCCATGGGCACATACATACATTGTGCATGCAAAACAGTCAAACATATAAAATAATAAACATCAGAAAGAGAGAGAAGTAAGCCTGTGAAACCGTGTTACTTTGAGTTAGTCCCTGGCACTGTTACCTCCTCTGCTCTTTGAGCACCTTCATAATCTCGGAGTCTCAGTTTGGGATTTCTGCTAGTTCTCCTGCCAAGCGTTGTATTGCTGAGACTGAACAACAAATGGTAACAGTTGTGGGCCAGTGAGATGGCTTAGTAAGCAAGGGTTCTTGCTGCCAAGGCCGACAACCTGAGTTCAGTCCCTGGAGCCACACTGTGGAAGGAGATGAATGACTTCTGCAGGTTAACCTTTGACCTTGATATGTGTGCTATGGCATGTGCTGGTGTGTGCAGGTATGTGTCTGCACTTGCATGTACATGCACACAGAGACACACGCAGTTGGTACAAATATTAAAGATAGGGTCTCATCATATGTATATCCTAGGCCTGGACTTGGAGTCTAGCCAACATAGCTTCACCCTGGGATTTTCCTGCACCGGCCTTCTCAGGGCTGGACTTTATGGTGTGCTTCCACACCCAGCTGACCCGAGAGGGTCTTTTTAAAGGATTTTAGTCAGTTGCTTTATGTAAATCCTCAGGTTGAAGGCCATTTTCAGCTGCCTGTTTTTTTGTTTGTTTTTTGTATTTTTTATATTTTGTTTTGTTAAATGAGAGGTCTGTGTCTGCGACAAGATCTGCCTATTAAAGGAAACATTGCTGTCCCAGGGTGTGCCCTTACATATGTGCAGGAAGTACTCTTAACATATGTGCGGGATGGGGAGGAAAGCATTTTCATGGCTTCTCAAAGAACAGTGAAGGTAAATGAGTCTGTTCTTACAAATTGCATCAATTAAGCAATAATATTGTTCATGGTGTTTATTTATATTTAGCTCCTTGAATGAAAACATAGTCACTTTCTTAACTTTATTATTTATTTGTGTAAGTTTTTGGCCTTACACACTTACGTCTGTAAGTACATCACACACATGCCTGGTGCCCATGGAGGTCAGAAGAGGGCATTGGATTCCCTAGAACGGAGTTACAGGCGTTTGCGAGCCTCCATGTGGGTGCTGGGAGAGGAACACTAAATGCTCTTACATCTGAGCTGTGTCTGCCCATTAATTACTTTCTTATTTCATCTCTTCATGCTTTTCTATTGTCAAGTGCTATCCTCTCCATGAAACTTGTTGCTTCTAATCTGTGATCCTGGAACTCAGTGACCTGTGTCTTAGGACCACAGGAGTTTCCTGTCTCATGGAGTGGCTTCTCAGGTTACTGTTCATGCCAGGGCAGAGAGGCATGGCGACTGCGTATCCTCTGATTTTCACCTGGCTCCATGGTGTTTCTGCTTTGTAATTAGCTGCTTTCCCTCCAGGTTCTTTGCAGATGTGGTCCCAGCAGTCAGAAGGTGGAGAGAGGCTGGAATGAAGGTGTACATCTATTCTTCAGGGAGTGTGGAGGCTCAGAAGCTGCTCTTTGGGCATTCCACAGAAGGGGATATCCTTGAGGTCGGTTACTTGGTGGCTGTGTTGAATACCATGACCAAAGCCACCTGGGGAGGTTTTATTTGACTTACACTTTCTCACAAAGTCATTTGGGGAGTTAGGGTAGGAACTCAAGCAGGAAGCTGGAGGTGGGCACTGATGCAGAGACCGCAAATGAGGGCTGCTCTATTGGTTTGCTCAGCTTGTTTGTTCACGCATCTGAGGGCCACCTGCGCAAGGGTGGTACCACGCACTAATCAAGAAAATGCTCCTCAGATAAGTCCAGAGGCTAATCTGATGGAGAAAATCCCTTAATTGAGGTTTTGTTTTTTTATTTTCTTCAAAGATGACTCTAGTTGGTATCGAATTGACAAACTAACCAGCACCCTTGGATTTTTTTGTTTGCTACTGTCAAAACATGAAATATCGACTAGTGAAAAGCACCTACTGAGTAAGCTCCATCGGCAGCTAGACAGGGAAAAGATGTGGGAAACTGAAGGTACCTTGAGTGGAGGGGTGAATGACCTGGGCCACAGGTCATCCATCAGTGACAGGTTCCTTAGAAGTGAGTAGGGGGATGAGAAAATGGGATGCTGGGAAAGTTTGGGGTCAGGAGGTCCTGCACAAGCTGATGGTTCACACGGCAAGCGCATCTTACATACAGCTTGCAAGGGGGAAAATGGGGCAGTGCTGGTCGGGAGTTAATCAAGCACACTGTACAAGGGGACACAGGATGTCTTAGATGTGCCAGGGACTGAGCACAGCCACCTTGGGACTGATAACTCCAGTCTCGTGGGAAAGTCAAGTTTCCAGGAACAGAGACCACAACTCCTTTGAGGCCCTGCTTAGAGCCCCAGATTGGACCTTGCCAAGTCTGCCCTTGAGGGAAGACCGAACTAGGTTCCTTTTGTTCTTTTACCAGGGCCTCTGAGAGACCCTGGCTCTGCATGGCTTTCTGCAGGTGAACTGTTTCGTGTAGTAGCAGCTTTTGAAATAGAAGCCTCTTAAATTTTTCTTGAGCAAGATCACCAGAAGTTTGTTTAAACGTGGGTTCTAGGGCTGGGGTACCTCAGCTGGTAAGTGCTGCTGTGCACGCCGGAGGACCTGAGTTTGACTCCAACACCATGTAGACGCCAAGCTTCACGGCACACACTTTTTGTAGTAATAGGTGTGGCGGGGCTGCGTCCCCAGCACCCCGGCCGCCTGCTAGCTTATGCCTTGAAATAATTACATGGACACTGTATTCTTTTAAGCACTGCTTGACCCATTAGCTTTAGCCCTTACTGGCTAATTCTCATATCCCGATCAACCCGTCTCTAATAATCTGTGTAGCATCAGTCTTACCGGGAAAGATTCTAGCCTATGTCCATCCTGGGTCTGAGCTTCATGCGTCTGCCTCAGAGAGCAGAGCTATCTATGCCTCTGCCTGGGAGAGGGGAGCATGGCGTCTCTGCTCCAAAGAGCAGAGCTGGCGAGTCTGAGCTCACTTCCTCTTCCTCCCAGCATTCTGTTCTGTTTACTCCACCCACCTATGTTTTAACATATGAGGCCAAGCAGTTTCTTTATTATAATTAACCAATGACTTTCTGGAGGGCAGTTGCTGAGGTGTAACCACCAAGGTTTCTAGGGAGGTGCTCTGCCACTCAGCTGTGCCACCATCTCTAAAATTAATATTTTCTGGGCCCATCCTCGGTATGTAGGGTACAGGTTTTTTTTTTTTTTTTTTTTGGATAATGGCATATTCTAATTTCAGTATATGTTCTTTTTGTTTTTTATAGTAGATATAAAACCAGTAATGAGATCTTTTGATCAGCGGTGGCTATTTTCCAAATACAGACAGAAACTTTCTGTCCATTGAGATGGGCAGTTAGGTCGACTTGTGTATGGCACGATAATTACCTACTGATTTCAGTAGTGAAAGTCTCATTCTCCAGTTACCATGTGAGGCAAATAGAGAAAATAAGTATGCAAAATCGGTCTCAACTCTTTTAATCGTCAACCCGGGGGCCTGTGAGATGGCTCAGCAGGTAGATGTGCTTGCCTGGCCAGCCTGACGATCTGATAGTTAATAAACCAACCAAGCAACCCCGGGGGCCTGTGAGATGGCTCAGCAGGTAGATGTGCTTGCCTGGCCAGCCTGACGATCTGAATTCAATTCCTGGAACCCATTTTAAAAAGCCAGACATGGTAGCAGCCTTTGTTATCCCAGCTTTACAGTGTGCTCGGAAGGAGACAGGGACCACCCAGAAGCCAGTCTAGACTGTGTAGCATACAGAAGCTACAAGAGAGACCCTGGCCTCTCAAGTCCCGGTCCTCATACCTTAGGATTACCTTTTTGTTTCTGATTGTTAAACCTGTTTTTAGTTGGCAAAAGACACTCAGACAGTTGAAGCTGAACCTATTAAATATAAACTTACGGGCTGGAGAAATGGCTCAGTGGTTAAGAGCATTGCCTTCTCTTCCAAAGGTCCTGAGTTCAATTCCCGGCAACCACATGGTGGCTCACAACCATCTGTAATGACGTCTGGTGCCCTCTTCTGGCCTGCAGATATGCACACAGATAGAATATTGTATGCATAATAAATAAATAAAATATTTAAATAAATAAATATAAACTTACTTTAATTACTATTGGTTAAATTAGCAAGCATTTTAGTTATGTTTAAGACCTCAAGGGTAGTGTTCAAAGATGTGTTAACTAGAAATTAGAAATGAAGCTGGGTGTGGCTGTGCTTACTAGTAATCCTAGCACTTGGGAATGTTGAGGAGCTCAGGTTCAAGGCCAGCCTTGGCTTCAGTAATGAAAGTTTCTTGAAAGCAGAGTAATAACTAGGGTTCTGGCTAGAGATATCTTTTCACTCTTTGGTTTTTGAGGCAGGGTCTGGGTGTGAATCCCTGGCTGGCCTGGATTGTGCTGTGTGATTCTGGCTGGCCTTGGTAGTGAACCTCCTGCTGGCCTAGAACTGCTGTGATGGCAGGCAGGTGCCAAAACACTCGGCTAGGATCAGAGGGCACTGTCCACAACCTTCTTTTTGTTGTTGTTATTTTTTTTTGTGTGTTTTTGTTTTTGTTTTATGAGACTGGGTTTCTCTGTATAACTGCCCTGGCTGTCTTGGAACTCGCTCTATAGATCATGCTGACCTCGAACTCAGAGATCTACCCACCTCTGCCTGGGATTAAAGGCATGTGCCATCACCGCCCAGACACAACCTTCTTTTTCATCTGGAGCAAAACCCAGTCCAAGAAGTAGTTTGAATAGAAACAGTGTTACAGGGCATGCATATTTAAAGGATTTGGGGCATAAAACAATGCCAATGACAACCAAATGAAGCATAGGTTGAACTAGTAGATTTCTTCCAAGTATTTATTTCCATAAACCTTTATGGAATGACGCCTCCGTGACTGGCGTGCAGTTCAGAAGGCTGTGAGTGGGCGTGGTTCGCACGTGTACGTGTACTGAGTAGTTCCTCCCGTTCTCTCCAGCTTATTGACGGCCACTTCGATACCAAGATTGGACACAAAGTGGAGAGCGAGAGTTACCGGAAGATTGCAGATAGCATCGGGTGTTTAACCAGCAACATCTTGTTTCTCACAGACGTGACTTTAGGTAAGGAGCCGGCTGCTTGGTACGTAGTAGTGAGGGAAGCAGCTTGGCGGGAGCAGAGGTTTGGTTTTCTCATGGTCGCTGTGTCAACTCACACAAAGATCAGGAAGCACAGGAGACCAAAGCAGGTCTGGACCGTACCCTCTCCTGCCTACACCACCTTTTTCCTGAAGGTCCCACAACCTCCCCGATCTTAGCAACACCTGATGGAGACCAAGTGATGCCAGAGCTGTGGGGAGCAGATCACCATCCCGGTAGATCAGCTCTCTCATATGTGGATGTCCGCATCATCCTATGGGAGGGTTCAGGGCTAAGAGTGCTTGCTGTGCAATCATGAGATCCTGAATTCAGTTCCCCAGGAGCAATATAACCAAGTATGGCATTGAGTCAGGCTGACAGTTGAAAAGTTATGGGCCTACCACTTGCTTAGCTCAGTCTTCATATCTGTAGACTGGGACAGAGGTAACGGTGTAAGTTATTTTGAGTTGTTGGGAACCGTGTGAGAACAGGAGCTGCATGAAGATAGGAATCCTATTTGTTCACACGTCTCTCATCCAGCTGTGGCTCCTAGCACACAGTAGATGCTTTTACAGATGGTAGCTTTTGTCTTTTGCATAAAGATAAAATGGAGAGATGAATGTAAGCCACAGTGTATTAGAGATATCCACTATAGCACCTAGCCTTCCTGAGCTAATATGACAGGTCTTGTTTTTCCTCCCTGCCGCCCAGCACCGCCCTAGTCCCTGATCATAAGGTCCCCGCAGTCTAAGGAGGGTAAACAGTAATAAGCTCAGTGATGTCCCAGCGAGCATAGTGGGTGAGGCACACGCAGCTGCTGTAATACAGGGATGGTGACCCTGGATGTGTCCTGTTGAGTGGAATTTTGAAGAGCGGGAATTTGTCAGGCAGAAAAGATGTGGAATCTAGGCAGGGGCATGACATGCATGCTGGGGCCTGAGGTGAGAGTGTGTTCTTTGGGCCGGTTAGATCATAGGTCGCCTTTGTTCTCTGTCTACTTCATTGGTGTTAGACCCTACAGCTTGCCCTTTGAGAAACAGCTCAGCTGTCTGGGGCTAATATGTAGGACTGGATAGAGAGCATGGGCCAGAGCAGGCCTGTTACGTTCGTCAGTCACAGTACAGGATGAGCTGTGTTCTCTGTCGTCATGTACAGTCAGGTGCTTTCTACCATAGAATTAACATATATGTAAAGAATGATATAAATGCCTCAAGGTGTCCGTCTTTCAGCTGCAAGAAAAGCCAGGGCCCAACTCACTTCTTGATCTCTCTCCAGCGACTTGGCTCGTCTCAGGTGTCAGGTTTGCTGCATCTCACCTGTCACCTGTCCTTTGCTTCTCGCAGAGGCCAGTGCTGCTGAGGAAGCAGATGTGCATGTCGCTGTGGTGGTGAGACCCGGCAACGCGGGACTAACAGATGATGAGAAAACATACTACAACCTCATCACATCCTTCAGTGAGCTCTACCTGCCGTCAACATAGAGCAGGTTCTGAGGAAGACTAAACTGTCCCCCTAATGTCTAGCTTTATTCTAATTGTAAAAGTAACTTACTTGTGTGTACACACAGACATATGCAAGTGTATATACATGTCTGTGTGCTCAGATCAATTTCCATGGCACATGTGTGAGCAAAGTATCAGTTCTGTGAGAACCAAATTCATGTAAAGATGCTTTATGTGTGGACCATAACTCTAACTCTTACCAAGGCCAGAGTGTATTTGATAGAAGAAAATCAAATGTGTGATATTTATCAAATTGTTTATTAAAATGGAAAGCTAGTTTTGAGAAATTATTATCCAGAGACCTTGTTATTTTAAAAACTGGAAGTGCTTCACAGGCATTCGTAAGAGGAATCCCTGACTGCCTTGTGAACTCGAATCACACTGTGCACTCAGACTCGCTTCCCGCGTGCACGAGACAGAGCCATTGGTTCTGCTCAGACTCGCTTCCCGCGTGCACGAGACAGCGCCATTGGTTCTCAGACTCGCTTCCCGCGTGCACGAGACAGAGCCATTGGTTCTCAGACTCGCTTCCCGCGTGCACGAGACAGCCATTGGTTCTCAGACTCGCTTCCCGCGTGCACGAGACAGCCATTGGTTCTCAGACTCGCTTCCTGCGTGCACGAGACAGCCATTGGTTCTCAGACTCGCTTCCCGCGTGCACAAGACAGAGCCATTGGTTCTCAGACTCGCTTCCCCCGTGCACGAGACAGAGCCATTGGTTCTCAGACTCGCTTCCCGCGTGCACGAGACAGCCATTGGTTCTGCTCAGAGAAGGGAAATTGGTTTTGGTCAGTCAGGTGTCAGATGGTGCTAGGCAGCATGTCCACCTCTAGAGCAGTGTTCGTGGAGCAGCTGAGGTGACGATGGCTCCGCTCCCCCTGCCAGTGTTAGCACCGTTTTACAGTTGCCTTCTTATGTCTTAGCATAGCTTGAATATATGTTAATGACTATTTTTAAAATGTTTTATTGAAACCAGTGTAACACCACGAAGAACTCTAATGTGTAATATTTCCTCTGAAATGGATGTGCTAGATGTACATTTTATGACAGCATTGTTTATCCCCATGCTTTCCTGACAGGGTTTCATGTCCATGTCCTGGAATTAATTAATAAAGGCATTTTCCTCTTTCAGTTTCATATAGATTGTGGAGTGTACATCATGCTGCCAGAAGCAAAAAGGAAAGTAAGCCTGGAACAGCAGAACAGCTGGACTTTTAGTTTTTGCACTCAGTGTGTGATACACATGTCTCTTTTAACAGGCTATAAATGAAAATCATTACCTAGCTTCAACTTGTATTTAATTCCGGCAGTAAGCATTCATGTATGAGTGAATGTTGTAGCAGGCCGCTTGTTTGTCCCAGCTAGCTTAGACCCAAAATAATCACATAGGAACTGTATTAATTAAAACACTGCTTGGCCCATTAACTTTAGCTTCTCATTGGCTAACTCTTACATCTTAATTTAACCCATCTCCATTAATCTGTGTATCGCCACATGGCAGTGGCTTACCGGCAAAGTTTTGGCATGTCTGACTCTGGGGGCAGATCCATGGTGTCTCCCCGCTCTGCCTTCCTTCTCCCAGCATTCCTTTTGGTTTTTCCCACCTAGCTCTGTTCCCCTACAGCTCTGCTATAGGCCCAAAGCAGTTCCTTTATTAACCAATGAAAGCAACACATAGACAGAAGGACCTCCTACACCAAGTGAAGGTTCTTGGAACTTTTGATAACCGTGTTTTTTTCTTTTTAATTTTTTTAAAAATTTTTTTGTGTAAGTTTGTGTGTGGTGTGAATGTGTGTTTGATACGAATGTGAGTATGATGTCAATGTGTGGTGTGAATGTATGTGGTGTGAGTGTGTGTGGTGTGAATGTGGTGTGAGTGTGTGTGTGTGGTGTGAATGTATGTGGTGTGAGTGTGTGTGTGGTGTGAATGTGGTGTGAGTGTGTGTGTGGTGTGAATGTATGTGGTGTGAGTGTGTGTGTGGTGTGAATGTATGTGGTGTGAGTGTGTGTGTGGTGTGAATGTGTGTGGTGTGAATGTATGTGGTGTGAGTGTGTGTGTGGTGTGAATGTATGTGGTGTGAGTGTGTGTGTGGTGTGAATGTGTGTGGTGTGAATGTATGTGGTGTGAGTGTGTGTGTGGTGTGAATGTATGTGGTGTGAGTGTGTGTGTGGTGTGAATGTATGTGGTGTGAGTGTGTGTGTGTGGTGTGAATGTATGTGGTGTGAGTGTGTGTGTGTGGTGTGAATGTATGTGGTGTGAGTGTGTGTGTGTGTGGTGTGAATGTATGTGGTGTGAGTGTGTGTGTGGTGTGAATGTATGTGGTGTGAGTGTGTGTGTGTGGTGTGAATGTGTGTATTTGATGTGAATGTGTGTGTGGTGTGAAAGTGTATATGAGTTTGTATGTGGTGTGAAGTGAGTGTGTAAGGCAGGACAGTGTGATAGTTGGTTCTCTCTTGTCATCTGGGGTCCTGGGTATTGAATTTAGGTCATGAGTCTTGGTGGCAGAAACCTTTACCCACCAAGCCATCTCATTTTTTTGTTTTTTGGTTTTTTCAAGACAGGGTTTCTCTGTGGTTTTAGAGCCTGTCCTGGAACTAGCTCTTGTAGACCAGGCTGGTCTCGAACTCACAGAGATACACCTGCCTCTGCCTCCTGAGTGCTGGGATTAAAGGCGTGCACCACCACTGCCTGGCTCATTTTTTGTTTTTTGAGACAGGATTTTTCTGTGTCGCTTTGGCTGTCCTGGACCTCTTTTGTAGACCAGGTTGGCTGGACTCAGAGATTCTCCTGCCTCTTCCTCATTATTGCTGGGATTAAAGGTGTGCACCACCACCACCGCCCAGCAGTATCTCATTTTTTTAAGCTATGTAAGAACATGCTTGAAGAAAACAGTTATTTTTCTAATTAATCAAGAAAATCTTGGAAGAATAATTTTAGAGATGCATTGAATAAGGGGGAAAGTCTTGCAAATATGAGGGGGGAAGGGAATAGAAAAAAATGTTATGTTGATGATTCAGATTTTGTATCAGACTCGAAAATAGAATCAAATTCATGTAAGCCATAGAAATGGGACTAATTTGTAAATGATGATAAAACCATAAGCTAATGAAAGGGACAGTTGTGCATATTTTAAGCTATGTAAGAACATGCTTGAAGAAAACAGTTATTTCTAATTAATCAAGAAAATCCTGGAAGAATAATTTTTGGAGATGCATTGAATAAGGGGGAAAGTCTTGCAAATATGAGGGGGGAAGGCAGAAGGCAGAACGGGTTATTGTTTAATAGCAGTGTCTTAGGGTTTCTGCTGTGAAGAGACACCATGACCACAGCAACTCTTATAAAAGAAATATTTAATTGGGGTGGCTTATAGTTCAGAGGTTCAGTCCATTATTACCATGGTAGGACATAGTGGTGTGCAGGCATGGTGCTGGAGAGGCAGCTGAGATTTTACATAGTGCCACCTCCTTTGGGGGCCCTTTTCTTTCAAACTACAACATTCCATTCCCCGGCCCCCAAAGGTATGTAGCCACATCATAATGCATAAATGATTCAGCCTAACTTCGAAAGTCCCCATAGTCTATAATAGTCCCAAACTTATTTAAAAGTCTAAAGTCCCAAAATCTCTTCTGAGATTTATGCAATCTCTTAACTCTAATCCCCTATAAAATCAAAATAAAAAAGCAGATCACATACTTCCAACATATAGTGGCACAGGATACGCATTAGCATTCCAGAAGGGAAGGGAGCATGGTGAGGAAATACTGGACCTAATAAGACTGAAAGCCAGCTGGGCAAACTTTAAACTCTGCATCTCCATGTCTGATGTCAAAACGCTCTTCAGATCTCCAGCTCCTTTCAACTTTGTGGGGTACAACTTCTTTCTCTTGAGCTGGTTCCATTCCTTGTTAGCAGCTTTCCTTGGCAGGATCCCATAGCTTTACCGTCTCCAACATCTTGGGGTCTCTAAGGCAACCCAGGTTTCACCTTCACAGCTTCACACAATGACCGCCTAGGCCTCCATTCAGGGACACCCTGACATGTGCCTGGCCTCAATGGCTTTCTTTAGTTAACTCCTTTCTTCTATTCTTGACTCTAAAGCCAGAACCATGTGGCCAAAGTTGCCAAGTTCTGCTGCTTGCTGGGACTGGAACGTGGCCCCCTTGTTCAGTGACGTCTCCACCAGCTTTCTGTTTTTCTAGTTTCCTTCGCTGTCTAAGCTTGGCCTTTCTGGAACTTGCTCTGTAGACCAGGCTGGCTTCAAACTCAGGTTTGCCAGCGCCTACCTCCTGAGTGCGGTTAAAGGCATGCAGCACCGCACCTGTCCCTAAGCTTTTCTTTAATTCCTTTTCCAGAGTTGGAAACTTAGTTGTCCTGGAGGTCACCACTAACTCTTTTCTTTTCTACTGTCTCCTTGAACACAGGTCTTAACTCCATTCTGCTTCCTGCTGCTCTTTTTCCTCCTCAAATTGTTCTAACATCTTGTATTTTTTTCTTGCTCAGCTTGCTCCTTTTCTTTATAAATCTTCATTAGAATTACCACTAGTAACCACACAGCAGAGTCTATACTAGGCTGGGCTGTTTTGAAATTTCTTCTGTCAACAGAATTAATCCAAATCTCTTCACTTTAGCCTCAGGCAGAGCCTTCAGACAAGGTCAAAAAGCAGTCACTTCCTTCACCAAATTATCACAAGAATGATCTCCAATTCTCTGAAACCTCTTGAGCAGCCCCCCCCCCCAGTTCAAACCACTCCTACTAGTATGTCCCATTAAACAGTGCAGAAACCATTCCACTGCTTTCCTAACCCAAAGTACCAAAGTCCAAATTCCTCCAAACAAAAGTCTTTGGTACCAACTTCTGTTTTAGGGTTTCTATTACTGTGAGGAGACACCATGACCTTGGCAACTCATATAGAGGAAATCATTTAATTGGGTGGCTTAACAGTTCAGAGGTTCCGTCCATTATCATCATAGCAGGGTATGGCAGTCATGGTGCTGAGCATTCTACGTGTTGCTCAGGCAACAGGATGTGAACTGTCTCACTGGGTGTAGCTTGAGCTTATGTGAGACCTCAAAGCCTGCCTCCATAGTGATTCTTCTCCAATAAGGCCACACTTCCTACTAGTGCCACTCCCGTTGGTGGTCATTTTCTTTCAGACCACCACAAGCAGTAATTAGAAAAGTAAGGAATTGAGAGAAAGAGCCCCGTGTAGTGGTATATCGGGAACCAACTCTCAAAGAGAACCTTTAATCCCAGCTGAGGTTGGAGGATCTCTGAGTTCCAGGCCAGCTTGGTCTATATACCCATGAGTTCCAGGACATTCAAGACTGCATAGAGTTTCAAACAAACAAACAAAACCCCAACCAACCAAACAAGAAGCCCCTATCTTTAAGGTGCTGGAGGTTGCCCAGTGGTTAAGATACTGGATGCACCTGCAAAGGACCAGGATTTGGTTCCCAGCACCTACATGGTGACTCACAACCATATAACTTCAGTCCTAGGGGTCTGGTGCCTCTTCATGTACCAAATGTACATGTGGTCCATACATGCAGGCAGGATACTTATACATGTAAAATAAAATAGTTTCCCGCCCTGGTACAAGGGACTCTGGAAACGGTGGGTTTTTATGTCTGTCTAGACAGATATACTTTGTTCTGTGTTTTAGGGAGAGAAGTCTCAAAAGCCGATTATCTAAATCAGAAAATCTGGAGTGGAAAGGTTTGCTATTTATGTTGGCCTTGTTTGCTGAACTTGACTCATGTTTAGGGAAGGCTGACAGCCTTGGCCTTACTGCTAATATGGGTGCAGAACAGGCTCTTCCCAGCAGGTGGTGCTGTTCCCTCACAGACCTGATCAAATGGCTTCTCATCATCAGAGGGAGCAGGGAGGGAGAGGGGAGATGAATGAACAGTTCATTTCTCTTTAAAAGCCAATAGCATGGTTTACAAGAACAGAGTAGTTGGGCAAACTTTTGGCAATAATGCCAACTATAACCTGTCCGCTAATTCCCCTTCCCCCTCTTGTATCTAATACATTTAAAAAAGAACAACTTAATTTTTGAGTAGACAGGTTCTAGCAGCACTGCTTAAAAGGGCTCGCTTTCATATGTCTCTCATTGCTATCAGAGAAAAATATTAAATATAATATGTCCCATAATAATTTGCTATAGTACCACTTGGGCCTTTGTGTCAAAATTATACTA